ATACTGAATGTTTTTCGAGAGAAGATGTCACATTCCACCAAATATTGCTGATAATAATCCCCACCCACATACTTGAATAAATGTGGAAATCATATACTTGAATAATTTCCCTGTTGGAAATTGAGGATGGGGAGAAAATCAAACATACAAGAAGTATTGAAGAAACAATTTCCACAGGGTGTACAAATTCTTCCACTACTTCGAGAAGAAGACAATGCACCAAATCAAATCATCAACAGACTGATGTTCATCTTATTTCTTTTTCTTTCTAATTTTTTTGTTTCTGTCATCAAATACTAGACACTACAAAGAAAACAAATCATCAACAGACTGATGTTCATCTTATTTCTTTTTCTTTCTAATTTTTTTGTTTCTGTCATCAAATACTAGACACTACAAAGAAAACATGGTCACATAGAAACTTTGCGAAGAAGAGGTTTCCTTTTCACACATTATTTGTATCCACTCAACATTGAAAACATGTTCACCATCGTAGCCCTAAATCTCAAACACCATACATCACTCGTTTTGCACTCTGATTTCCAGAAATGGTTTCTTTTGTCGTGGTTTTTTCCACAGATTTTCAGCTGGGGTGGGATAGAGCAAGCTTACAAGAGCTCATCCGCGAGATCAAGCTGCACCTTGACACAATGCAATTTTTTTTCATCTTTGTCGATCAAACTGTGCTGCACAATCTCATGTTACCTCGTTGGTTTGTTTCTAGAGGAACCAAGATGCTGTGGTTGAGAGCACATTGAGTGCATTGCAACAGATTCTGCCGTACTCATCAAAGAAGGCTCTGACATTGGCAGAACACTCAAACAAAGTCGAGTTGCGGGGTCTGCAAGTGGAATGGATTTTGTCTGAAGCCCACACAAGTGAGTAAGCTTGCCGCTTTGTCTCGTCTGTGAAGTGGACCGTCACTTTTCTGCTCTTGAGAGAATTATGCAGAGCTGAAGAAGATAAGATGGCCTGGGCCGAGAGTCGCAATCACAGGGTGGAGGAGGGGCCAGTAGGTGGGGAAAGTGGGATGATGCATAGCCAGATAGCGTGTGATTTCTCTTGCCCTGGAGGAATCCGACGAGTGGGTTCCCGCATTGGCCGACGTGATTGCTTTGATATGAAAGCATCGATCGCGGAAGCCTTTGTTGGTCCATTCTATGTGGGCTGAGACCCATTGTGGTCCGTGCAAATGAAAAGACTGCTCGTGCATGCAACTTGCTCCAAAATTTAAAAGGACTGCAAATGGGTTTTCTTGAACTTGGAATTTTGAAATCGAGAGGTTCAACTTTCGTACAAACGACACAGGTTTATTTTTTTTGGAGGATGACGAGATCAGTCCGATGAGAATCTGGATTAGGGTTGTACTCTTCCGCTCCATCCTTTACAACTACTGGAGTTTTCATTATGACGTGCTTTCATTGGCATGTAGCATATTTTGCCAAATTATGGTGAGAGATTGGGCTTGAATGGACCTAACAGTAAAATGGAGAAGTTCGTATTCGCTCACCAGAGTTTTTGCCGATGTCGAAATTCAGTTTCGGCCGGAATCTCCTTGTGCCCTGCATTTCAGATGACTTTCCCAACGGAAGAAGAAGTTCAACAAATAGGTGAATGTTGCATATCCGATGAGAATACGCAAACTCATCCTTGCGGCACGTTTCCTCATCGGATATGCACATATACATCCTGTATGCTGTGCCTTGTCCTTTGTTTTTTGTGTGCTTCTTTGAATAATCGTTTACACATCATTCTGCAAGGACATTGTGTAATCCTCTTGAAATCAAACTCCACAGATCCGATGGCTTTTACTGTATTTCATTACAATGACATTCTGTTAGAACTGCATCGACATCCTGTATGTTAAATCTACTAGTCAAGCTTAACAACGCTCTCTTCGCGATTAATAACAACCTCGAAGCTTTCAAGTTATTTTCACCAATTGTTGCTCCACTGCAAATGGAATCAACCTGAACCCAGTCGAATGTGCCAAGGCAACATTACTTCACGTGGGGGCATAGGATTAGAGCTTGGGGGTACTTGATATTTCATTTCTTTGATATTTCACCCACAAGGGTTGCAGCTTCTACAGAAAATTGCGAATAGAGTTGCTTGTTGCCTAAGCTGAGCAGTTTTCTCATGGCTTTGTCTAAATTCCAGTGTTAGTTTTCTGATGTTCTTATCACCCCGTGTGCTCGACCAGAGCTACTATCATGATGCAGAGACGAACTGAGTGCCACAGCAGACGACTTGTCGCCTTCGGATTCAAACCCTGAAACCAGAAGCTCGCCTCGTCTAGCAGATCTCCGTTGTGTGTTGGTGGGAAAACTGGTGTTGATGTCAATCAAATGACCTTAAAATGAATTCAGGAGCCTAGGGGTCGAAGCCAAATATAGGACACGGAGAGCGCACAAACCCTAGTTCCGTAGGTACGGAAATCCCTCATCCATGCTGCTCTATTATGTAGCAACTTTGCAAGCATTGTCCCCCCCCCCCCCCTCCAAAAGTTTCCAAAAATCATCAAGTCTTACTCGCCGATTTCGTCAAACTTTTTCGTAGAAATAGTTAATTATATCACGTAAGCAAACTAGGACCATGCTGACTACTTTGAATCTCACCGCCGCTTTGATTTGACAAAGCTGCCACTCGAAACGTACCACAATCCGTGAAGGCAACCAAGTCAATTACCAGGAGCCGTGGGTTGACAAACATGTGATCCAAGTTATTGGGGTGACCCAATCCAGACGGCAACGCGTATTTCATCGCCTCATCCTCAGACTAGAGAAATGACTCCGCTCGCCGGAATCTTGGAGGAGGGGGCGCATCCTTTGACTGCAAACAGCCGTTTCCCTCCCGATCATGCAAGTAGTGCACACATACGGCTCCTAATTCTTTGGGTCCGAGGGGGCCTTTTGACATGAACCTTTGACCCAACCTAATGTGCTTGAACCAAACGTCTATTTAGAAGTCCAGCACAGTGAATTCTGCTTCATGCTTCTCTAATACGTCCCAAGCTCATCATAGAGCATCTTCTTCTGCTAAGCTCTCTCTCTCTCTATCTCTCTCAAAGCTTGAAATTAGTTTCTCACACACCCTTCAGTGCTAACGGTGTCTGGGAATTTAGCCAGTATCAAGGGATTACGAGATAACTGAGTGACATTTTGTCAAGGGGGGAAGCTCGAGGTTGAGCAGACGGTCCATGGGGCACCGGAGGGCGCGGCCGATGCTGGAGCCGGTGCCAGAGAATTACATGGGTGCGCACGTTTCTTTCGCCACGCCGCAGCCAAAACAGAAGAAGCCAGTTGCAGAGACGAAACAGGCGAAATCCTCCTTGAACCCTCGCAACTTTTTTCTAAAGCTCAGGGACCGGTACATCAGAACGTTGAACGACATGGCGATGAGTGGAGACTACACGGGCATGGCGGGCTTTGGCCACGGCTACAGCTGTAACGCAACTATGGACAACACCAGGGAGCATTACAGATTCAATGAGGAGCGCGAAATCATTGCGTTGCAGGAAGAGCTGGCTGCTCTTCGAAGGAACAGACAGGAGCAGCAAGAGTTCAAACCCGCTCAGAAATGCTAGTCTTCGTAGAAACACATGATTGCAGACAGACGGCGAGCTCGAATTCCACATTCTTCATCGTTTCTACATGCACCACAGCCGTAAAAACTAACACACATTACACTCAACATCATTGTGCTCCGACGCATCTCCTTCAAAACCCACACGAATTTCGGCGTAGCTGGGATTTTCTAGTAATCAGGTTTACAACCAATCACAGCAAGTGCCTTGCTTTGCCTTTGCCTTGCCTTTGCTTGTGCACTGGGTGATAATCTAGTTAAGCTTGGTATGGGCTTTTGCGTAGAAGATAGAGCTACAAACACAATCCTACGAGATGATTGCATCGAATGATCGTTCACAGGAAACGTTAAATTCCTTGTGAGGCACCAGTTGAATTCATGAAGCTCCCCATTCTGCCTGCAAAGCAGAATCAGGTGTCGAAATTCGTATTTTAACTGCCATTTTCTGAGCGTCCCTGTGAGTTCCGAGGCTTAATTCAATGCGACGAAAGTGGTGTTGCTTGGTTTCTCTATGTGTGTGTTTCATTTTCTCTTATAAAAGAATCAGTTTTGCAAGCACCCAGTACCTGATTCAAGCAGATATGTGTAAATATTCTAATTTGTATAAGTGAATGATCTCAGAAGTTTTGCAAAGATCATACTAATCAATATATATTATTCATCAACCAAGCTTTGGCTACATAAGAAGCTCACAACTAATGGGGTTTATATATGTAAAGGCTCATTTTCTAAGACCATGGTATGAAAGCTTTACAAAGGTTTCTTGATTACTGAAGAATAACTCTCTTTTTGAAGCATTTGGTCTTTGAAAATAGTATAAAGTGAGAAGATGATATGAAATGTACCTTTTTTAAAAAATAAGTCTAAATATGTTATTCCATGTCTTGATTCTAACAATCATGAAAAACTTTACCAGAAAAATCATTTCTTAGATTTAAGTGATTGTTTTAATATAAATTTATAAATAATGATATATCTTCTAAAAAAAAAATTTTAAATCTCTTGAGGTGGGCTTAATGAAAAATAAAAAAAATAAAAAAGTTTATTTTTTCATATATGTTTTTTTGATTAATTTTCCTAATTTAAAGTCAACCAAGTGAGACTTATCCATTTCAACTAATTAAAATATTTAAAATGTATATATACATATATACACTTTGCATCCTCTCCAATATGTACAAAAACTCCTTAAACTAATGTGACATAAATCCTACAAAAAAAATTCATAATAATGTTGAAAGACTCACCCTCATGGGCAAGAGCATGAAACCTTTTGCTCCTCATCCAAGTATGGATGAATAACCATCGATGATGCATTCGATGTCCAGCTAACGATCCTGTCGGTAGAGGATGAAAGTCATCCCCTGCAGGGTTCAATGGACCTAATGCTTTGTGGCTTTCCGTTTGGATTTCCCCGATGCACTTCTCACTGCATTATTCCATATTATATCAGTTGATTGCTCGTCGATGGCGACTCAATCACTGCACTTGATCACACGCCCTACCCCAACACTCTACCTATTCAGTGAATCCTGTATATTTCAAGGGTCTTGGACGGTGACTTAGGGTTTTGGATTTGATGGCTTCGTTTGTGCTTGCAAGAATTTGTCGTGGAGACGATCACGTGGATTGTGTTCTGGCACGACGTTTTGTGGAAGAGTTGATTCGAAGAGCTTGAACGAGTTTTTGAGCGGTGCTTAGATGGCGAGAGCTATAGTGGGGTAGAGTGAATAATCGAAATTGGATTGATAGTGAGAGTTTGTGTTCAAGGAGAATGTTTTGGAAAGGAGCGAATTCTGTTTGGGTTGTTGAGGGCTTGAGAGAAGTTGGATTGAGGAGAGCAGGGAATCGCCGGCTTGGAAGTGTAAAGGAACCTGATAGTTGAGAGGTGAAGTATAAGGGTGTGGCTATGGCGGATACGGCAGTGGCCGCTGTGAATGTCCAGCGGCGAAGGTGGCCAAGAAGCGACTCCCTCGGTTGCTGCATCTAATGCCAAGGTGAATAGGATCGGCGGGGTTGAGATGCGGGTGCCGGGCAGGATGGAAGTCGACATGGCGCGTTAAGACGTGCAACGCGTGTGTAATCCTGATATTAAGCGGTCGTTTACTTCAATTGAAGATGCCTGCGATAGGTATACATTCGCTGGGGAATTTGATTATTGGTGGAAGAAAGAATAGTTTTTTCTGATGTATGTGATTGTCAGGATGGTGTCCTTCGGAAGGAGCTGGGGAGGAGTAAGTGATAATTTTCCTCTGGTGGTTGTTGTTTTTGAAACTTGAATGTGGTTGTGGGAAATGATGTGCTTCGTCATTGCAGAAAACATGTTTCTGGTATTGTTAATATTACGTCTTCCTTATTTTTGGTAATGAGATGTCATATTCTGTCCGGACTTGTGTGTATTTGTTTTTATGACAGCCACAACTATTGAGCAAACAATTATTGATGCAGTTGCTCAAGTTTTGATTGTGTGATAACTGTTTGAGCTGGACTTACGAGGGCTATGTGTATTTCAGGCCCATTTCCTTCAATTTAATATGTTCTCATATCTACCTTCTCAAGTAACACGCAGACTATGTTCCTACATTTTCAGATGATTGATAATGATGCATCCAACTTCAAAGGAGTTACTCGACAACCTTTTTCTGTTCGTTAGAGCTTGGATATGAGTTGCAAAGCATGGGATTTGAGGAGTTATTAGAGCGTTAAATTTCCGTTGAGTGCACGTTAAGTTTTTCTCTTAAAGAATATATTAGGTGACTGAATTTCTCAGGTTAGATTTTGTCATCAATCCTCGATTATCACTTAAATTGTACCATTATCTAAGTTCTAGATTACGAATAGCAGGTTTGTTGGAAGCAGTTGTGGGGCGTCTTCGAAATGGACAATGTCTTGGTCTCTTCCATTTTAGTCTTCCACATCCTGCTTTGGTTCAAACGGGTCGAGCATCTTTTGCGGTATTTGGATGGAGTTTTCTCCTTACAGGTGGAAGGGTGGAGTTTTCCGACACGAAATTGATTGCATGCTCGATCTTGTTTCTACATCTACACGGTAATGTACCAATTATCGTCTTTAAATGCAGGCTCCTCCTCTATCATGTGGTGGCAGAGTACGACCCTGAAGAGTTGGAACTCTCACCCGCTGGGGCCCAAAGTGGTGCAACATCTTTGTTGATTTCTAGGGCACAATCCTGGAATGATACCCTTAAAGCCAAGACCGCTGAATATGTAGGGGCCCTGGAGAAGCACATAAGCACTTACAATTCAATATTGAAGAGAAGAGCAGGTGGGGACATGTGTGGCGAAGAGAGACTACTCGTTGAAAAATATCTACTTGTTGACGAGAGACAAAAACTTGCTGATGCCCGTGCTAAGGTTTGTGCTGCACTCCGGTCTCTTTTCCAAATCATATGTGCCGTGGCACACCTCTGATTATGCCAGCGAGGTGTTATGGTTGGATATGAGGATAACGCTTTTGAGGTTGTCGTTCTGCTCAGATTGAGGCTAAAGAAAGGGCAGAGCGAGTAGCGCATGAAGCTAGAATCAAGGAAGCTCTCGCTCAAGTTGAGGAGGCTCGAGCTGAAGCGCAAGCTCAGGCTGAAGCTGCTCGAGCCAAAGCCTTAGTCGAGGCCGAAGCTGCTCAACCAGCTGAATCCTCCCAGAAAAGCAATCAAGCTTTCCTACCGGAAATTGGTGTGGATTCTGACGCCTTGCAACCACCCATTAATGGGGAGGGTTTGGGGGATTTAGAGGGATGGGACTCGTCTGAAGGTGAGGAGGAATACGAAGAAGGGCAACCTGGTAAAGAAGACGATGACGAAGAGGATGAGGATGATAACCCTGATAGTTTATTTGCTGAGGGAGACGGGGCCGAAAATGCATATGAAGGTATGAACGAGGGGGTTACAAGTACGCAAAACGAATTAGCTGACGAAGACATACTTCACTTCAATCCAAGAGAATGCATGTGAAGAGAGTGACCACCTCCTGTCTAATAATGTGGTTTAGATCACCATTCTTTTAAAATATTTCTTTCGTAAACTCTGGCTTTTAAGGATTCGTTATATTCATGTCGTAAGGTGGCCGGGATGGAGAGAGCTGCAGCTTAGTATCACGGTAACCATCTGAATAGTTAAGGTGGAGGTTCTTTTACGTAGAGACAATTCCATGGGCAGATTTAACTCGAGACACTTACGATACTGGGTGTCCAGTGGTTGTTGAGTTGTCATTCACGATGGTTTACTCGGTTGACGTGACCTTCTGTGATAAAATGGCAATGTTGAAAGCCTCCCTTTGAGCATGTAATTGCCTGTCCACATTCCACTTGGACAGGTCAGATTGATTGTCACGATTCATGTTAAACACTTATGAATTGATTCAACCCTTTGAGGTGAGGTTACTTCCTCAAATATATGTTGACTGATGCGAGATTAGCCGAGCTCTATTCTAGGAAAACATAACAAATCCTAGAATTGTGCTTCAGATTTTAGCTACTTAGCACAGCAGTTGCTACAAAGCAAATCGGGAATGCATAGCATTTAAGTTTGTAGAGCTCTTTCATTCAGTTGGGATCTTCTCAGACTTTGTTTAAACTTGGAAAGTGCCAAACGCTGTACAAACCTGTTTTCAATCTGTATCTGGGTATTATGTTCTGCTGCAATCTAAAAGTTACTCTTAGATAGACTGATTTACGGAAGCTTTAAGGGCAGATCTACTATCTCTGAAGGATGCAGTTAATAACATAAATGTCAACCCCATAAATCTTGAGTGAGCAGGTTTGTGTCAATCCAAAACTTAATTCTCAACATCACGAGGACACACTTCCAAGGTTTAATATCACACTGTCGTATTAAGGATTGTTGTCTTGAATTCATTACGCCAAATCATGTCTTAAATATATTAGAAGACTGCCAAAGATTGCTGCTAATCCATTTCAAATGCCGCTGCACCTTCACTTTTTCCCTCATTCTCAAGACCAAGTGGACACTTTATGTACTCAACCAATATGTCCCTCACACTGACTCTTCTGAGAATGCATCGAGACTTTGTCAAGTCAGCATATCTGCTAACACGAGGGTTTCCTTCTCGCTGCTCTTGTCCCTGTAAACACGTAAACAAATCAGGCATCCATAGGAAGGAATTTTCAGAGCCTGCTCAATGCAACAAAATTGACAGCCACTGGCTTTCTGTCATTGAAAAACGGCCGCCTTTATTCTCCAGTGATGAGATTCCACAGCTTTGATCTCCAACCCTTCACACAGCTGGCATATTCTTACACTTCCAGGTCAAGAAAAATAAACTATCACTGCGGATCAAGATTTTAATTATGATGTATTCTACTGCAAGTGTACACTATTATTTTATAATTGGTTGAATTTATCAATATGTTTCTCCACACATTTTATTAAACCACATGTTGCAAATGAAAACCACCTCATGGAAAGCTTTCTGTTCTTCAGAAACTGAACAGTATATTAACTTTCATATCCAGTTCACCTCTTTGCAAATGTAGTTGAGTTTATCATGATAAAATAAAATAAATTGATGGGGGTAGATGATCACACAACATAATCAACATATATATATATATATATATATATATATGGTTTTTAATTTTGGTGATCCACCCATATTTTTGGAGTATATTGATTTACTAATACATAGCTGAAAAGTGACCTAAATTATCCAAAGAAATTTAATAAAATTCAGCCACTCTTCAAAGAGATGATAAGCCCTGAAATGGCCCTGCCACCGATTCTCTTCCACGACAATGCCCTAGATTATGATTGACTTTGTGTTCAGTACAATACTAATTAAACCCGACCGTGCCTTTTACAAAGTTAACAGTGGATGAACCTTTGATGCGGTCTGCGGGGATCGAACCCATGACTTGAGAGTAGTGCTGGAATTTATTTATTTGTTGAAAATGAAGGTGTAGCGTTTGACAATATGATGAGGATTTATATTATGTTCACTTAATATTTGGCAAGTGCTATGACATTGTGAGAATATGTCTTTTGGTGAGGTTTGGGAATGAATAAATTGTTTATAATATTTTAATTAAAACACTAAATCTGAATAGAAAAACAAAAATATTATATCTTTTGAAATCATTGTTATTATACATGGGTTACTTTTCATCAAAAATCTTAGAAATTTCTGGAAAAAATTTGATTAGTTTTTTTGCTTTTATTTTTTTAGAAGTAAAACACTTTACTTCAAAAGGAATTAATACTACATTTTACATGATAAAATACCTGATCATAAAATCTAATTATACCTTTTTCTGAAAAAGAATTGAATTAAATTAAATGTGACACAAAAAAAGGATAGAAAGAATTTATTTTTAACTGAAAAATAATAAAAATTGAACTTGAATTTGAGCTAAAACCTTTGTACTAAAACCATTTTCATTTTTACATCTCAATATGAAAATGTTATTTATTACATAAAATACCTGTTTAATTTAAGTTTAATTTTTTATTCTTTTATGCAAAAATTTTTTTTTTTTAGAGCTTCATTTCATTTTAAGATAATCTAGACTATTTTGTAAATAAAGTCTTGATACTTGGAGCAAGCAATCAATTGTACACTCACTGTGCATTTACAGAGTTAATGTCAACTGAATACTATAATATCATTTAAAGTTGTCTAACATACCATGATACTTTGGCTATCCAACACTTCCAACTAATATGTCTTTTTGCAAAATATTACAAAAGTGTACAAGAAAAACATTACCTCTATTAGAACTTAAGGAGTAATTGGAAATGCCTCCCTTTTTTCATTTACCAAAAAAATTTCAACACATACATTCTCATAAAAACATCTATTGCCTAATTCAAGATATGAAACCTGCTCTCAAACCATATTTTACTTGTGAAAAACTTAGAATTGAGAGACCACCTGCTTCTCTATCTAAATAGAATAGAAAGTTGTTTGCAACTTTGTCAAACTTATATTCTATTAAGGGGAAATCTGAGCATATAATCCAAAAAATCTCTTTTCACACTTAACTACAGTGGATGTAAATAGTTGTCAAATGTGAATTCAAACTGTATTTTCAAAAAAGTTGTAATTTATTTATTTTCTTTTCCATGAGACCATTGTATGTACAAGCCAAGGCATTGAACAGAATGCTATGTGAGGGAAGGAGACAAGAAAAATTCAAAGCCAGAACCGTGGGTCCAGCTTATAATTAGGGTTAGAGCCCACAACTGCAACATTCTCCTCATCAATCATGCTTGTGCATATCCCATCAGCAAAGCACAAAGGTATCCAAAATCCACTATTTCTGTGGCCTTGCCCAACCTCTCTCTCTTGGCTGGGGAGAAACTACTCCCCAATTGAGTTCCAAGAAGGAAAATGTATGTCAATAAATATATATATATATATATATATTTGGAGTAGATGTTGTCTGAATTGAGAATTTAGGTGTGCATATTTTACTTGGTGATTCAATGGTGGTGACTTAGTATACTCAAAGTGGTGAGGGAGTACTGAATAGTACTTTTATGGCAGTTGTAGCACCAAGGAGATGTATGCTTGCCAAAAAGCATTGGGTTGGACAACTTGGACCATAAAATTCTCCGTGAAGTGGACAAGCTAAAGGTCATTTTATTGTATTTTAATAGACTTCTACATTGGCCTTTTGCCCAATGTCAAGGTGGAGTTGTCAGAGGTTTGTTTGATCAAATGGTCATAATGTGAAGTGACTCTTAGAATAATTAGTATGTTCTCTCTTTTAAAAATAATCAATAAATATAAAATGTGCAAGAAACAAACAAAAATTAAAATCCAACCAAAGATATTAATTGATTATTCAATTACTATATATTTTTATTTTATAGATCCAAATTGTTTTATGGATGGAGTCCATAAAATCACATCTTCTTCATTTGATGCCCAAAATTGAACTATATAAAAGACTCTCTTTCCCTTGTTTGTCTCTTCACAATGCTTTGTTTGCAATGAACCATTCTATGCTTTTGAAGAGTGGCCTCCTTTAAACCCCCAATAGAGTTCGGGGACAATGTTTGGCTTGCTAGTGATAACAAGAAAATGGATTCCTGTCTTTGGGAACAAGTTCTCTGGATTAAGAAAACTTGTGTGAGGACCATTGTGAGGGACCATATGGTAAATAACTTTTTTAATATTTTTATTTTATTTTACTTTTTACAATATATATTTTTAGTTTCTGAAATTTAGGTCACTGTGTGTTAAATTATGAATTGAAAATGTGGCAATATTTTGAAACAGGCTGAGAAAAAAATTCACACACTCTTCTCTCTTTCTGTCAAAGTTTGAATCTTTAGCACGTCTACTGTTGTTCCATGAGTATAACTTTGATACTTTGTGAAATCCATTGATGGGTGTAATCAACACCAAATACACATTCCTTAATTCTTATGTTTTCTCAACTCTAACAGACAATGTTTATTCTTTTGAGTGGGTTTAAGCTATGGTAGAATCAAATTTCAAATTAAAAAAAAACAAAAACAAAACAAAACAAAACAAAACAAAAAAACAAACAAACAAACAAAAAACTTTAATAATTAACACATTCACTTTAATTTCTGAAAATTGTTTAAATTTTTAATAAAACATTGTTTGGCTACAATTAACAAAGTGGTGGTGGGAATTTGGTATTTTGACACAAGGTAAATGCCTTTCTTACTCCCTCACTGCAAATAGTATTTTATTGGAGGTAGGACAAAATAATTTGGATGGCAATGGACTTTTTGTGCCTCCTTGTAAGGAATGGTAGCATCTCCAAGAGGGTTTGATGGGAGGCAATAGAAGAGACAAACCCCATCTTGGAATGGAAGAATTTTATTTAAAAAAAAAAAAAAAAAAAAAAAAAAAAAAACACACACACACACACAAAACACAAAACAAAACAAAAACAAAACAACTTTTTTACCCACTCAAGGATGTGAATTGCCTTGGTTGGACTTTATCTTTATTTTCCTCTTTAGGATGTCTATTGTTTGGCCAGGAGTATCAATTTGTACATTCTTTTCTAAAAATAATTGCCTTTTCACATGGGGCAATTGTAAGGTTTGAATATCTCTCATCACAAAAGCTATTGCATCCACAAATGAAAAGTCTGAGCTGTTCCTCTTCTTTGTTATCATATGTTTGTTTTGTGAAAAATCACCAAAATATGGATGTGTGTGTGTGTTTTTTTTAAATAAAATCTCACTTTCATTAGAAAAGAGAATTAAAGAAATTTTATAATAAATTTATAAAGCTTTCCCTGAGTTTTGGAAATAAATATATATGAAGAAAAAAACCTCTCTTAGTGTTGAGATAATATTTTTGTGTATCCATATATGTGTATTTGTGACAGAAAAAAAAAGATGATTTTTTTTTTGAAAATGAATTATAATGTAGTTCCTAGACACACACAACCTATTTTTGGAGATGGCTATGACAACTAAGATGACTAGGAAAACATCAAGAAAAAATAATATATGGATTCTAATGATAGACTTGAGGTTCATTGTGCTTTATGTGTGTGAATAAACATTGATCATTATTATTCTTATTATTACAAAGAAAAGTTCACATCATTAGTAAACATCTCTTCCATTTTCTAATTTTTACCATCACATATAATTTTGTTTT